TATATACATACACACAGAGAGAATCCAGTAACCAACCTTATACGTGACGACGCGCACAAATACCTAGATAAATATACATATTGACGTCGAAGTGCTGACTCGACAGTACAGTTCATTCGAGCATCCTCCTCGATGCATCGCGGGTGTATTTTTGAGACAAATGTAACGAAAAATAAAAAAATAAAAAAAAAGCAAAAACAAAAATCACCACCACTATCAGAGAGAGAGAGAGAGAGAGAGAGAGAGACTATCTCATCCCCTCTCGACAAACCAACAAAAATATTCGACAATTGAACGGAGTTGTGATCGTTTTGTCGATACCATCAATGTTTTCAGGTCGTCAGTATATATATATATATATATATATATATATATATACTGCAACAAATGGAAGTGAAAAGAAAAAGAGAGAAAGAGAGGGGAAAATAGGAGAAAAAAAAAGAGGAGAGGGAGAAAAAAACTGGGAAACATTTTGGTACAGAAAACCCAGGAACGTTCGTCGTTTATACGAAATTGGCCAGAAAGGACAAGAAGAGTACATATGTAAGTACATATATATATATATATATATATATATATATATATATATATATATATATATATATATATATATATATATATATATATATATATATATATATATATATATATGTACTTACATGAAAGGGATAGGGGGAAATTGTGGGGAATAAAAAGTTACAGCGTGAAGAATAACAGGTGGAAAATGTGTCGTCCAAAGCTACAATACCTATCACCGATATCATGATGACTCAATCAAATAGCGAATGAGTTTTTTTTTCTCTTTTCCCTTTCCGTCTACTACCATCATAAGCTTTTTTTCCTTTCGAGAGAGTTATAAAACAAATCCGAAAGGAGGAACCAGGAAAATGATATGAAGTTTCGATCGAAATCTAGCATCGGATGTTTATTTCAATATACAAACGTTTAAGGGAATTGCAATACAAATGTTGGGATGAGGGAAAAATAAAAGATAAAATTACAAGCTATAGATAAATATGGGGAAGAAACAAAGAAAGAACAAGGGGGAGAGAGAGAGAGAGAGAGAGAGTGAAATAAAATATATCAAAGAGAGAACTAGAATAAGAAAGAAAAATTTAAGGAAATTGAAAAGTAGAGTAAAAGAAGGAAGCTTTATAAGGCATAAAAAGATAGAGAAATAAATAAAAAAAAGGAAAGGAAAGGAAAGGAGTAGAAGAAAGAAGAAAATAAATAAATATAAAACGAGAGGGAAAGAGAGAGAGAGACGATCGATTTTGGGAAAGTCAGTCTGTTAGAAAAGAAAATAGCTGAATCCGGTGAAGAGATAAACAATGTGGGTTTAGGTAGAAAGGAAAAAGATAGAAGATGTCAGTGTAGTCATTCTTTTACCGAATGCATCGGTGCACGTGCACACAGGACCATTGTGGTGGGTTGAACAGAAACAAGGGTGGAAGGGTCCAGGGAAGAGATAGCAGGGTTGCACAGGAAAGCTTGAGGATTGGTTAAAGAAAGGGAGAAGGTATCGATAAAAAGAAAGAAAAAAAATTTCCCTTCTCTTTTATTTTCTTGCATTTTTCAACGTCTCTGACCGAATGGAGAAACTCCCTCGAAATTTTACGATCTACCTGCAAGCATGCATGCATGCATGCATACACAGAGACACACACACACACACAGGCGGGTTTCTTCTCTTTTTTTTATACCTACATATATTGTATTACGTTATATTTAAAATTTATTGGAAAATCAATCTCTGAGTTTTAATATTTCAATCTAAAAAATAAACCACTCTCGCACGTGTAGTCCAATTTTTAAAACGTGTACTCGATACGGTAAAAAAAACATTGTTAATAATTATCTTAAAAGTTTTCAATTTATTTTTATATTTATATCGAACCCTGAAAATATATTAACAAAATTAATATACTTCGTGGGCCAATCGAATAAATGAAAAAGAAACTTACAATAATATATTGAAAGTCGTATAGAATTTAAATTAAAAATTAGTTTTATTATAATATCCTTGTGTGTGTGTGTGTGTGTGTGTGTGTGAATGATAAAAAACTCTCGTGGGAAATAAAAAGCATCTTTGATAAAATGAATAAAATGAAACATAAGTAAAATGCTGTGAAAATTCTCTGAATATATATTTCTCAAAATGATATTAGAAAAAGTATTAAATATATATACGCATAGAGGGAATCGCAATAAATATGTAGAAAAATTACACAACTTTGCGTTATAAAGAAATCTAAATTATTTCAATTAAATAGCATCTGTGTAAATAAAATTGGATAATTTAGAAGTAATATTTGAGCAGGATCTTTAAAATTATTTTCAAAAACAACTATAACTTTTAATATCGAATATGCATACGCGTATATACATTTATTGACTCGTCGATATAAAATCGTTTAAATTTTAAGTTTAAATCGAAATTTTCAAATATTGCAAACACCGAAAGGATGATATATTTATGCATACACTCATACTCGAGTTTTCTTTGATATCGTCAAATGCGGTCTATAAATCGAATATTGTGTGGTACATCGATTGAGTATTGAATCGTAAATATTAGCAGTTATCGAATATTTGAATTATTTATTTATACCAACACGACTCGATATTTATTTCAAACAATTATATATTTTTTATCGTTCGTCCATTTCCCTCCTCTCGAAAATAAATGATATCGTTCAATCAAACTTTTCCAGAGAATAGATAATATTTATTTAAGATAAATTTGCATTATGTTATTACGATACGAAAGAAAAAATAACTACGAATCGTTCTTACTATCCATCGTTGCGTAAAGATTTTCCTAGTTCTCTTTTTCTAAAAGTAAAAATAAGTAAAAAAAAAAAAAAGTAGAAATAGAAAGAGAAAAATAAAAAAAAAAAAGATATAAAACAAACGAATGCAAAGCAGTGCTTTCGTAATCAGATCGTTTGGTAGGTACTTTATTTCCCAGAAAATTAGAGTCACCCTTGCGTGGAATAGTGGTGCATTCTCTTTCTATCCATACATACATATATATATATATATATATATATATATATATATATATATATATATATATATATATGTATAGCATGCACGTATCTCTTGCTTGGCATTCCACGTAGGTGCAATAAGTGTTTAGGTATGTAAATAAATACGTTGAGAATCGTGAATAGCAGGTGTTAGTGTGGGTTAAAAGCACATACACGAGAAGACGAATAGTCGCTTGGAGGAGCATTGTAATCCTGTCGTTACGACCGTAATCCTTTCAGCGAAAGAATTGGCTCGAATTGTCTGGACATTTAAACGCAACTCGAAATAACAGGATTTTCATGGAAGCCCCTAATACTGTTTTCTTTGTTGTTGTTCGAATAATGGCCACGTTGATGATACGCTTTAATTAGAATACTTAATTCTACTTTAGACATAAGATCGTGAGATCACTCAAATTGTGATTCATTATTCTATCTTGATTTTTATTCTTATTTTTTTGTTTTGTTTTTTTTTTTTAATTATTCTAGGATATCCTCTGTACATGACACACCTAATACTTATGGGATACAGCGTCGAAGTAAAAAATGTCTTTCCTAAAATCGTGCCTGAGGGCTACGTCGAAAGATTTACGCGAATCTTAGCTCGTGGCTCTTTTAAAGGTTGCATCAAAAACCGATTTATCCTTGTAAAGTATAAAGGACGAACGAGTAAAAAATTATCCGAGAAACCGATAGAAAACAGCATGTTGCTTGCCGTATTACGATTTGCAAATTTCCTTCTAAACAACTTCCGAAGATTTATACTGTTTTTTTCTTTTTCAATCGTGAACAAGAATTTTTCTTTCGTAACAATACTCTTTCGATACCTTTTTGCTGTTTTTTTTTTTCTTGGTACTAATTGCATTCGAAATAGTTGCAATATTTTTTTGCGCTTTCGTTGTTTTTTAATGTAAATTTTCCATCCCGTCGTCTTCTGATAGTTTTTCTTTTGCTCGTCGTCTCCTCTTATCTTCTCAATCTTAAGTAATACGTAATCTCTCGTATGCGTATATAGGATTTAAAAAAAAAACCGAAAAAGACAGGAGGAGGATATTGCATGCAGGAAGCAACAAGATGAAAATTTCATATCAGCTCTTCTCGCACTTTAGGAAAATCGTTCAAAGTCGAGATTCGACAAAGCGAATTTAAAATGCGCGTGAAAAAGCAACAACGACGAGTACGAGATGCAGTCCTTGTTACAAATTTATTATCGGATCAAACTTCTTAACCCCTGCATTCCCTTTGTCTTCTTCTTCGCGAGAGCTTTAACAAATTTCAAAATGACAGGAAAATCATTACATTATTCTTTGATATTTATTTTCTAACAAATTGTCAACCAATATAATATAAATCATTCCTAACTTATTTCAATTCGTAATACTATTGTGAGCTATAGTTTTATTTTAAAAGTTTATTAGAAAGACACGAAAGTGTTGAATAATCTAATTGATTAATGTTGATTTTAAAAATGAATATATTCGAAACTAAATTTACTTAATTTCAGATCATTGAAGGTTCGTTGCCTTTCGCATAATTTAGCAACATTACTAATAGGTGAATTGTCCGTACTAATCGACGTTTCAATTAAAGATTAACGATACGATATAAGTATCAGAAAGTCGAACTAACGAATAATTTAATTCTACTGAACGTTTCGAACTTCGATTTCGCTTTTCCTTTCCCCTCCCACACCCCTATTCTATTATTGTAATATTTCTTCGTTTAAGAAGTTAATTAAATTCGACGAAACTCTGTTATCACGATTAAAATATTAAACGAACACAAAGACGAATGAAATACTTTGGAAAAAGTTTCTTATTTATTATGGGAATAAACGTTTTGCAGCAGCACCACCACCCTTTTTCTTATTCTCTTGTTTCTTTTTCTTCTATTAATATAAATAACAATTAATCATATTTGCCGTGTTGTGTGAAGGAAAACCAATGAAAAATTTTGATGTCTTTACAGGAAACAAATTGATCTGTGACTGCAATCTTGCCTGGATTTGGGGTTTAAGGAACGAGACGAAGAATATCAAGTTACGGGATGCCCTCGAGGAGCTTATTTGTTTCCTCGAAAGTAATAATACAGCACTAAAGATCAACACCGAGGATCTAGAGAGGAATCAGGAACTCGAGATCACGCGAAATTCTGGTAAATTTCACTTATACTTCTATTATATACTTTTCCCCTCACATATATTTGTGTTTTAATAACCGAGATATACGAGGTGTCTCAAAATTAAAACAGCCAAATCAAAATAAAATATCATTTCAATTGAATACGATCGAGTCGCTGTGCTTAAAGTATTATAAATGCAACACGATACGCGTATTATAAATAATATAAACGTAATAGAAACCTTTTCTTTGCTAATTATTCAGGATCACAACCCTCTCCCCTTCCCCAGTCTACCAAAAAGTCTTTGATAATTTTCTAATTTCATTTCCTGCCTTTCTCTCAAAGATGATACGAGCCAAGAAATAGAGAAAAGAGAGAGACAGATAGAAAATAAGTGAGAAAAGTAGATATATAGGTCTCGAAGGTGATCAAAAGTTTCCAACAATTTCCCTTACTTTCCTACTACCCTTCTACCTCCTCCTCCTCCTCACCTCAGCCCACCCTTTTATAAGTTTCCTTACTTTGAAAGGTTTTTACACCGGGTGTCCCATTTTATTTAATATAACCAAATATATCCGATCCTATTCGTCTTATGAACAAATGTTTCGAATAAAAGTTTCTGTATTATAAACGAAAAATATGTATTCCAGCTATCTCATACAGAAAACGTTCTTGTCGAGTGATATGGAATTTTATATTTATGAAATTGAATCAATGATCTCATTGTCATCGATATTTCATTGACTCTTATGACTCCTAGACATTTAATTTAAAATAAATGAATATTATATAGTAAAAAAAAAGTGAAATTCGTAGTAGGAAAATGTCGGTATTGCTTAAAATGGGACACCCTGTACACTACTATGTCCCAGATAATCTGTTTCTTCTTGTGGCACGTGAAATATTAAAGTTAGCAAACTGTAGTTAAATAGCGTTATAGGGTAACAAATTATGTCTTTGCGGAGATGCTCAAAAGATTTTTTTCACTTTACCGAGAAGAATTACGGCGCACAGCTTTATTGTTTTAAACGCAACAAGCCCGTTGTTTGCATTATTTTTGTTGCTGGGCAAAACGTGAATTGCATTTGCGTTAGAAACTAATTTATTATCGTCAATGGTTTGCAAAATATCGAAGTATGGAAATTCAGTATTATTTATGACCAATGGCATAGTCGTGATTCGTAATCGAAAATGCAATTCGCATATTTGTCGTTGTTAATTTAATGAATAGTTTAATACACGTTAAAAGAAAAAACGGATTATCCGGGGACACCGTTTATATCGAAATACCTGATGTATACGCGTGCGTCTGTATGTATGTGTTTTTAGATTCATATTTGGCTGATAATTTGAAAATAGGAAATAAGGAAGACGAGGACAACTACTTAGGTGACGTGGCTAATGAAAGTTATGAAAATTTGGGTGAAGAATATGAGGATTCCTCGTTGGATAGTAATTCGCAGCCTAAGGTAATAGTTTCCAAGTAAATCGTAGTCTATGTTCTATCTATCTTATGCAAACGTCGAGAGATAGCAAATTTAAATTAAAAGCGATTAGGTTGATCCTTGTTTCATTATTTAAATGAAGAGAGTATAAAGTAGAAAGAGACACGTATGTATAACGAACTCATTATGTTTCGAGTTACTTTGACTCCGACGTTAATATTATTTTCTCTTTGTTGTTCGCGTGATTTTAAATCAGCTTTGTGATATTTTCTTTCTGTTTCCGTTTCTTTTACGAGATTAATATCGTTGATATATATTAAAACATATTCTTTATTTTTTCAACTTTTCTCTCTAATATTTCTTTTGTTTATACGTAAGTTAACACCGCGTTAGACTGTAACTTAAGTAGCAGGGGTGGTGTTTGGTTTTAGGGTGAAAAATAATGTAAAATGAAAAGGAATTAATAATGAAAAATGAGGAATTGTGCACTGTCGCATTTTGTTGAACGTTCACAGGTGCGCATATTGGATGGAAAGGTGTGCTACGTGAAGCATTTGTTCGATCTAAAGTTAGAGGATCTACCATGCCCGGAGACCACAAGGGAGGACCTAATGGCTTCTGAGCAGCCATCCAGTCGTCACGAGAATGCACCAGTGGGTTCCTCGGGTTCCATATGGTATCCATCCTCGGCGCAGACTCACCAAGTCAACCGATTCGTCTATGCTAGTTCACTTCTATTACTCCAAATAGTTATCTTTCCCTTTTCAACCTTCATTTTCACGTAGAAGGAAGTGACTAGAATTTTTCTCCGGGCACCGAATCATTAACAGAGAAATCAAGAAGGAAGAAAAATACTTTGTTGTAACCATCGAATATATTGGTAACAACATGAAAATTCTATAAAACCTATAGGAAAATTTTCCATTCCCATAAATGCGATGGTATTATATCTTTCTCCTATATCCATCTATCCCCCTCAACCCCGTTAGACGATATATTTGTAGTTTCAATTCCTTAGATTAAATTTTGCTCGGCTTTTGAGCTTGCTTCGTAGATCTCTTCTCTACCTTTTTCTCTTTTTTATTTTTCTTTTTTTTTTAAGTAAGAGAAGATAGATGCTTTGCGAGAGAACAAGGGAAAAAGAGGAAGACAATAAAAAGAAATAAAGAAAGGAAAGGAAGAAAGTGTATGAGAGAGAGAGTGAGAGAGAGAGAGAGAAAGAGAGAAAGAATAAAAAAGCACTTTAACTTTCTTATTTTTCATGCCGAGAAAGGGACAGAAATTTGTTAATTCTAATGCTAATTCTCGTGGCATTTTTAATGTAGTAGTGCACTTAATATCAATATAATAATAATAAAAAAAAAAAGAGAACAATTGAGAGAGAGAAAGGTAGAGAGAAGTGGAGAGGAAATAAAAATAAAAAAGGAAGAGAATATAATTAATAGGCATTTGTTCTCGAATTTTTGTCGCGAAAGAAAAAAAGAATCGTGATTTTTTTTTTGCAACGAACGAGATCGAAATCGTATTCGGAATAAACGAGATAATTGTTGACGATAACGATATCATTTTCATACAAAAATTAAACGGAAAATATAAATAAATTGCATTAAACGTAGATCCGATGTTATATATGTATACAGTTGAGCAAAATTATAATCAAACACGATCGCTATCTCGCGTGTCCCAAATACAAAAATAAAAAGAATAGGGAAGGAACATTTGCGAATTATCTGAAATACGCGTAAAGAAAAAGGGGAAAAAAAATAAAAGAAAAAGAAAAACAGGATGTTAATTTTTTTTATTTCCCTCGACGTTGTTAAATTCCTTTTTCTCGGTTCTCGACGTTCGTCGTTTTAGCTTCCCCACGTCGATCGTAATCGAACTATAATACATATTACATGCGGAACGTCCAATGAATAAATTAGCATGGTTAATGAGCGAGAATAATGTCGCACGGTTTCAACCGACGACATGCGTTCATCTAAATTTCCGCGTCTCTACCTGTGCACATGTTTCTCTCTCTCTCTCTCTCTCTCACTCTCACACACACATACATGCGTGTTTATTCATTCATTCGTTATCTCTTTCTTTCTCTTTCTCTCTCTCTAGGTTGCCTCTTATTCTCTTACTCTTTCTCTCTCATTCACCTTTGTCAAGTTGATTCGCACACGAGCGTGCACGAGCTATTATTCGCTAATTACACGTCAGACAATCCTGAGTAAAAACGTGAAGAGTCACCCATTTCTCTCTCTCACTCTCTCTCTCTCTCTCTCTCTCTGTGAAAATGCGTTAATATACGCGTATATCTGTATATCTGTGCGTTGGTACAGGAAAGAAAAATGGAAGAAAGGATTGGGAGAAAAATGTGATGAAAGAAAGAGAAAACGAGAGAGAGAGAGAGAGAGAGAGAGAGAGAGAGAGAGAGGGAGAGGGGAAGGCAAAAGAAAATGATAAAAAGAAAAATGATGAAGATAAAAGATTAGGAAGAAACGATGTATACATTACGAGTTAGCGTCTCACGAGATTCACCGAAAGTACCGGTAAAAGTACCTTTTTATAACATATTACGGACAAGACGTTTTTATCATTGATTATTTATTAATATAATGAAAAATTTTGTTTCTTTCTTTAAGAATTAATATTATTTTGAATTATTTGTGATATAACGTTGTAATATTCTTCGATAGTATTCTTTTCGTTTATTTCTTTTTATTTGATACTTGATATTTACGATTAATTGTACGTAAATATTTTCTATATATAAATATATATAATTCGTATATAATTATTAATCATAAATATTAATAATTTAAAAAAAAAAAAAAACATCATATTTATGAATATATAAATCGTATTTATAATTACTCTCGATCAATTATGTCATATAACATAGGTCGGATAGCTTTTATTTTGAATATTTTCAAATTAATCTTAAATGCATATATTAATCGTATATTAATTACTAATTAAAAATCATGCGCGTTCACTTTTTGCGAGTGTCATCTCATAATCTTCCTATTATTATATTACTTATTAAATTTTCAGTATGTCGATGAATAATTGATTAATTGAATTATTAAAGCAATAAACGAGAATATAGATTTCGTCATCCGTCCGTAATGTGTTAGCGAACGAAGAAAAAAATGTAAAAAAAAGAAAAAAAAAAGAAAGAAAAGAAAATTAAAACTAAAGAAAGATATAACTTCAAAAGTTATACGATTATTGTATAATATAATGCATAAAATGTCATTTATCGTATCAATACCAAAAATATCATGCACCATCATTTTCTTATTAATTATATACATATATATATATACATACATACATATACTTAAGTATTTTTAGCTTCTATAAGTGCGTGCCATCTTAGAATGTTAATTAACTTATTTCCATTGAAACGCAATCTTACGAATCTAATCCGATGTAATCTAAAAATAGAAACAATTCAAGAATAATCTTATATAAAAAAAAAAAAACAAAAGTAATCTCGGTAATAACACCAAGCAGAGGGATGAAAAAAAAAAAGAAAAGTAAGAGAAACATTTGATACTTATACAAAATTTCGTCATAGTAAAAAAAGAAGAAAAAATCAAAACGAGAAGAAGATAAATCATTGATGATCAAATAAATGAATGGCCATAGGTGTGCTTCTACATGCGAACCCTTTTTTTCTAACTTCTCTAATCATTCTGCTTGCGATAACCGTATATATAAGAAAAATCAAATAAAAAATAAGGAGAAGAAAAAAAGAAAAAAAATCTTATTTATAGAGACGATGATGTTCGTCGAGTAACGTGGAACACCTTGACTGGCCCTATAAAACCAACACCCTATCCTCCACCCTCTTTGAAACCCTTTTTCTCCTCTTCGAATTTAATAATAAAAAAAAAAGATATAATAAATAAATAAATAAATTATCAATGATGTTGAAAATGTTTGTCATAGTATATACGTTATATCATAGTGTCGTGAATATAGTATGTATATGTATATACATATACATATATATATATATATATATATATATATATATATTATAAAGAGTCGATTTTTTGTCGAAACGTCGGTGGCTAATTTGCGAGGGGGAAAAAAAATGATTCCAACGGATAAAGTAAACAGGAGAGTTGTCGTATTATTTATATAACTGAAAACACGTTAATATTTTTCATTGGCTTGAATGATGCATATAATAGAAAAAACAAAAAAACCCAAAAAAAAAGAATATTAGAAAAGGCAAAGTCTTAAAGTAAAAGGGGTGGTGAGAAGGGGTGAGAAGATTGTTAGAGAAAAGCACGAAAAAAATGGAAAAAGCCAAAAAAATAAAAGGAAATGAAAAAAAAAGAACGAAGGAAGCTAGCTTTACGTAAGCTTCTATGTTTGATACAACGAAGTCTTTTTCTCATTCCGCCATTCTACTCTAGGATTAAACTTACCCACTCTTCCTTCCCCCCTCCCTTTCTATGTGCATGTTCGGTGTAAAATATAAGGGACGAAAAGGTAAAGAAAATAATAAGAAAAAAAATGAAATTCTCCGAGAAAGTTCACCAACGTTTCGATGAGAAAACGATAAATTTGTTGGGCTCGAGAAAAAAATGTGCAGCTTTATTATATAATTAATAAATAATTAATCATTCTCATATATATATATATATATTGAAATAAGGGTAAGCCTATGGTGTACCACGTTAACTCATCGTCAATTTTTTTATGAAAAAATCATTCTCTCTCTCTCTCTCTCTCTCTGTCTCTCTCTTTCTCACTTTGTCTATACTTATTCTCTTTTAAATTCATTTTTTTACATAGATAAATATATAAACACTTATCGTTATTATTCTTTTCATTGGTTCACATTGCAATAAAATAGAAACAAACAAAAAAATATATAAAAGTATATAAAAAAAAATTAAAAAAAAAAAAAAGCGTATGTCATCGTCGTCATAATTATTATTATTATTTTTTTTTCTTTTTCTTTTTTTTTTTACTATTAATATGATCATTATTATTACACGCGAATGTTCTTAGGTACCAAAGATATGGAAAGTTTGGTGTTAGTCATTAGAAATCTCGTACACGATGATTTCGCGATTCACCTGATCGCGTTAAATAATGAAATAATTATTATTGTTAATAATTATTAAAGAAGAAGTAGGAGGAGGAAAGAAAAATAATTAAAAATGAAGTTGGAAGTCTGAATAAACGAATATTACTTATATTATATAATATATATATATATATACATAAGCGTATATGTATATCGTAAGAAAAAATGAATTTTATTGCGAAAAAAATGAGTTTCTTGTCGGCTGATAGTAAAAAAAATAATAATAATAAGAAGAAAAAAAATAAAAAAAAAGGGATAGAGAAAATTTTTCTTATAAACCAAAAAGAGTTATTAATCCTGATCATTCGTACATACATAAAAAGACATAAATGCATAAATATATATATATAAAAATACATAGGTTTTCTCTCTTCGTCGTTAGTATCGCGATGCCAATCCTTTTTCGAAAGCATACACACACACATATATATATATATATACATACATACATACATACACTTATACATTCTTCATATGAAGAAAAAAAAAAAAGAAAAAAAAGAAGAAATATACACGCACACACACGTGATCGAGAGTCTTGCATTTATCTTGTCCAAAATATAATATATGTAAGCGTATCAATAATATAAGTTGTGAAGGATTTAAATGATTTTGATGGACGTTTTTTACAGATTTACAGATTTACAGATTTTTTATCTTCGATGTAATTGTCTCCCCTCCCCACCGGCCCGTCCTCCCTTTTTAATCTCCAATCGAATCCTTATCCATTCAAAAAAAAAAAAAAGATTCGCATAAAAGCTATTTTTATCTCCATTTCTACTTCCATTTTTGTAGTATCGATTTACGCGCATTTTTGACATATTATTCAATTCGATTATTATGTATTATTTCCTTTGCGCATATAAGCCACACACGAACACGCGTAAGAAAGGGTCATGGAAAAAATAATATATGTACCTTCTCTAACGTATGCATTAATTTAAGCTACTGATAAGAAACGTACGGATAAGTTTAAGGTTTTATGAATAATTATGTGGATTTACTGCCGAACTCTAATGTGTATTATATGTTCTTTTGTAAGATTTAACAATGATGGAAAATAAATCTACGAGAAAATATTTGCAATTGTAATAAATAATGAACCTTTATCTTTATCCTAAATCCATCACGCAGAAAAATAATTTTAAATTGTATTTCAATTGTAAATTACCTTTAACATCCATTTCATTTCTCATTCGAAATATCATTTAAACAGTTTGTCATTTTTAACTAAAATTTCTATAGGGTGATTTACACAGGAACGTGTTGATTAATTTAATATAATATTTGAAGTTTCGATAGAGTAACAAACGCGTGAATACTTTGATAGTATATTAAAACTATAAGAAATCGGTCAACAAGAAAGAAATTTTCTATGGAAGGAAAAATATTATCTTCCTTAAATTAATTCGAATAATATGAAATTTGGACTGCACGTATATTACGTCAGACAGAATGTTGTTGCATATAACAAACGTAAACAAATTTATCTCGAGTTAAGTAAGCGCGTGCGACCGTGAAGACTAATTTAGATCATGGCATCTAATCATATTGGTATACACAGAAGATGCATGCATTCGTGTATATATATCTTTGCACGTAAATGTAATATGTAGGTATGTATTTCCTCGTAAATATATATATATATATATATATATGTGTGTGTGTTTCTCGTGTCTTCGGTCACTTTCCGTTCACGTTCCTATGACAAAATCGATCGCGTGTAGTCGAATCGACATCGAATATATTTCTCTCGTCGTGTGTCGAGTTCCACTTTGCTCGTCCTTCCAACTTGGAAGTTTCTTCGTGAATCAAACATAGCTAAAATAAAATCCAAGAGTAATAGTAGTAGTAGTAGTAGTAGTAACTTTGATATCCAACTTCAAATACGATATCCTAGCGGAGACAAATTATAAAAATCGTCGTATAAAACACTTGGAGTATATATCCGGAAACGTGACAAGACCGGTCAACAATTATTAGTAAGTTCCAATATATTTTCAATCCTTTTATTTATTATTTTATTCGCGTTTGATAAAATAACGTTAAACACTTGGTAACAGTTAATACGCGGATTGGTTTATTATATGATCGATCACGTTGACAAACAATTATAAATTATATTGAACAATTTGCCAATGATTTAAATAATAAATACACAATTATTTTCTAATTATTATTATTATTACAAACTTCTATATTATATTTTCATTTTTTCGAAATAAGAACTTACAATTATAATGAGCAAGAGAGAGAGAGAGAGAGAGAGAGATAGATATTAAAGCTTCTTAAAAATTCCATTTGGAGGAAGCTTCTTCTAGGACGGTTTTAAGCCGACAAAAAAAAGCTCTTCTTTCTTTTTCTCTCTATTACACTAAACGTTGACGATAACCAAGCTCACCCTGTCCCGTCAACATCCTATGCTTCTGTCTTTCCCCAACTCCGTATTTCTTCTCACGAATGTCATTAGTATTTAGAATGAGAGTGAGCACAATAAATCCTCATTTCCTTCATCGTCCTACTTTCAATTAGCCCCTTTAATTGCCAACGACCAGAGGTTTCGCGTTACACAGCTTAACACACAACAATCAAGAATTCAAAGATGTTGGATGATGAGCATCGTTTCTCTCTCTCTCTCTCTCTCTCTCTCGTTCTCTCTCTGTCTTTTTCTTTCTTTTGGTATCCTATTCTTCGAGAGAGATTTGAACAGAAGGGATATCGCTATTAGTGCTTTCTCAAGTTCTTTGTCTATTTTCCTAGAACTACGAGAGACAAAAACAATGACGAGTAAAATAATAATAATAATAATAATGAAAGGCAAGAGAGAATAGGAAAATAGGAATTATGGGGTTGAGGGTGAGGACTGAAGAATTCATGTAAAATGGTTTAATTGTCGTCAATTTTCTAACGTCTACGTAGTTAATATAAACAGCGATGACGATCTTGTTAAAAGTTACAGTACACGATTCGACGTCTTTACGAAGAGTACGATAAAGTTTTTCTCGCGTTGATTTGTCAACTATTTTTGTTCATTCTCGATAATATTTTCCTTTAATCAATTGCATTAAATCAAACTTGTAAGAGTTATGGTTGTGTTGTTCGTATGAAATAATATTGGTTCAATGTGTTCGAACGTATTATCAGTTGTGAGATTTCAGTGCTCTACGCATATGTATAAGATTTTGTAGAATTTTAAAAAGAAGTCTAGGTTTTATGCACTGCCTAAATAAATTTTGCAATCATCGATGTATACGTCGATAGATTTTAATTTGCAGATAAATACAACGGAAGAAAAAATTTGATTCGAACGAAACGATCAATAATATTTTTATGCACCTACTATGCATCCGTTTGGAATCGATGGAATAACGATTGCGTGACGTACTATACTTTTTTCTCTCTCTCTCTCTCTTTCTTTCTTTCGTTTCTGACAAAGTAGTATTCTTTCGCAAATTGATGACAACAGCAATTTATTTATCGTCGCATGTGACATGCATAGAGAATCGATGCTCTCGAACAACGATCAAGTTGATTCAAAAACACTTACATATTTAGTACCTACGAATTACTCGTTCATTATTTATGACAAATTAATTCACGTAGGAAATTGAAATACGTATTATTAACGTGGATTTATTTGACAGGAATCGTCTTGTCGTTTAAACAATCTCTCTTTGACAAATTTGTAAATTTGAAAATACATTACATAATATATTTTCTATCTCTTTGGAATCATACACACGTATTATATTGTATAAATTCCTCTCATTTAAAAAAAAAAATAAAATAAATAGGAGTTTCAATACCTTGTTAAAACATAGAAGCATGGACAATAAGAGAATAGCGTATATCCGTTAGGGTTACTTAAACGTCATAACAGAGAGGAGGTCAGTTAGTATAGAAAGTTTGAACGGTATAGAAGTCGTGTAATGTAAAAAAAAAGATTTCAAAATGAACAAACAAATTCAAAATTAAAATGAATTTTCATTGAAAGGTAAAATCAAAAGATATACCTTATTGTTAATCGACTTGATTGTGTTTCATCGTTATTTTTTTAATTAGTTAGTTAGGTAGATTAATTAAAGTAAACTAAAGAACTAAAATAATACGTTCGAATCGTTAACCGAGTATCCGTAAATGGGAGTATAAGTAGGTAAGTTATAATATTAATATAATCACACACACATACACGCGTGCGAATAGAAAGATAGGTTTAATTGAAAACCTAGGAAGAGCAGGACGAGGACGTTGCAATAGTTGAACGAATTCGGTGTACGATAGTGGTGGTGGTGCTCTGGTGCACTCGTGTATTTGCGCTGAACGCAAGGACGGTAAAGAGGATAAAGAGGATAAAGAGGATTACTGGTACGATCGAATAAAGAGGAGAAAAGCAACCGCATCTAGCTATGGGAAAGGTACAACAACATTCTACTCAAATAAATATCAAATATAGACTCCCTTTTCTATTTTCTATTTCATCGGAGTCCATGCTAAAGAATATTTGACAATGTTATCTTAGCTTATATTTAACCATACGATTAACAAATACAGTATTGCTTATTCGATAATCATATTTGGGGAGAAAGAAAAAGTTTTCTGTTATGTGGTTTCAATGGGAACAAAAATTAATACAAGTTTTCCTTCATATTTATCCAACCTTCTCGAAATGCTTCGAAAACATTTTTCCGTTGGTTGCTTATTGTTAGTTCTTTAGCAATATCGCGACCAATAATGTGCCGGTCTCTCTAAAACATCGGCAGGTTACATTCGCAAAAAAAAATCAATAGAACAGGGGTTGGGGGATACATACATATCTATGGGTCTACATTATACGTCCTTTGTAATTTCGTTTGGAAAATAACAGAAATTCCATTGCTCGGTGGTAACTTTTAGCAACGCGGGATGCAACGACCCACGAGATAGAGATAAAGAGATAAAAAGATAATGTGGGAGAGAGAGATGATACGAGGGGGAAGACGCGGGGGACATTTTCAAAACGATAACAAAAGACCGTACCTCGTAACGAGAGAAAGAAAGAGAGAATATCGTCGGTGGTGGTTGTTGTTGGTCGTGTTGTTGAAAAGTGCATGGAGTGCGATGTTTTCGAAAGTTATTTTCTACGAGGATCGGGTAACGGCGGAAGGGCGAGTGGTTCGAGGGAAAAGGGAAAGGGAGAGATGGGTAGAAACGCATTCCACCAAGTGGATTATGAATAACAAGTTAATAACTTTGTCCCGTGAAAAGCGGCATAATATTACGCAATAAACATAACTGTACAAACTGTTTTTAATTAAACTTGACGAGTGAAACATAAAAGAGACTTACGCTATTAGTACAATATCGAAGCTGGTATTTGTTTAAATTTAATACTTCTTCTTCTTCTATTTTGTCTTTTTTTCAACGTGAAAAAAACATTGTAGATTTTTCTTATATATACATATAACAAGGAATTTTAATTCAACAGGGTATGCTGTCAGTATGCGGGGAAAAGCAGCAGGTGGTTTTGTTATTCCTGATCGAAATCATTTTGATCGTCCTGATCGGAACTTTGACGACTTACGGACCTGAAGCTAACGCTAATCTTCTGAAAAATCTTAAGGGTCAGTAGTAATAAAATAACGCTAGATATCGATATGATATGAAAAGTAAAATAAACTTTTGATTCGAACTTAAAATATCATCAACATCATCACTAGAGATCATTTTTATCGAACAAGTAAAATCATTAAAGAAACAATTTTCGAAAAGGAAGCTTTTACACAAAAAACAATACGGAAATAGGTTGCTATTCGTTAACCTAAATTGTTAAATAGTTAAGAATACATAGTCTCGATTGAAAGTAAAAGTAAAAGTAAAAGGGAAATAGAAGAGAATAAATACATACACGTGTAGGGCTTACAAATACGCTTACAAATAAAGTTAGATAGAAACTGGTGCACTCGTTTAAGATGCTGCTTTCTACCCCGATGTAATCCGAAATAAGTGAATATTAAATTTTCAGTAGACGACAATGGGAACAACGAACACGACAGGAAACCGCAGACCGATCCATTACGTATTTATCCGAGTGAGTAAATTAAATTACTTATCTTTTTCTTTTATATATTTTTCTATACTATAACAAATTAATACGACGTGTTGCACGTACGTTTTATATAGTAATATATATAAATAAATAATGATTATACGTTAGAGTTATCACATAAAATATTATAAAGAATGAATGAAATATTTGTATGTATCAGTATGATTAAAAAAGCCGTACGCTAACAACAATAAGAACGCTCGTTTTCACAGATTTAGCTTATCGTATGCATATATAGGTCACGTAACACATGACTTATCATTAAAGCCTGCTATACATAATAGCGATAATTCTTTCTACTTTATGATCCGCCTGAAAAATTAACAAACTATTTCGAATTGTTAAATGAAAATTAATATTATGAAAAGTTCCGAGCCAATCGTGCAGAAAAGGGGGTATAGCAAATATTCGTCAGGATTTTTCTCACTGGGGTTGTTACACCTTGATTTTCTTTTTACACGCGTGCACTATGAATAAATAAAAATTTGACGTAGAAAGAAAAGGTCGGTCTCGATGTTTCTTTCTTTCTTTATTTCTTTCTTTCTTTTCTACGGTACGATTCGACCGATCATAAATTTTTCAAACGAATTTATACCTTTATCGTATAAAATCTGTTTTGTTAGTTGGACACCGCTGATATACAGGATCAGCGTGTAGGATAAACGGCCTATCATCTGTCTCTGTTTCTCTAACCCCTCCTGCCACCCCCTTTCCCTTTCCCTTTCTCTCACTCTCTCTCCCTCTCTCTCTCTTTCCCCCTGCATCCGTTAAATGCAATTTATCTTTCGCGCGTCACAATGCAGAATTTAATTAACGCTTTATCGAGCGAAAACGACACATCGTTCGGAGCTACGTTTACCTTGTTGGTCTCATGCGAATTTCAGCATTAGTGTATTAATGACACGACTAATATATCGATGATTTCCTCTCTCCCTTTCTCTCATGCATAAACGTATCTATCTAGGTATACACACGCTTGTACAATTCCAACTACGGAAATATCAAAAGCAGATACTCGTGTTAGACTCGCACGAAAGCGCATAAAGTGTGAAACTATACGAGAAAGAGAGAGAGGAGGAGAGAGGGGAAGAGAGGGAGAGGAAGAGAGGAACTCGCATCGTTGCCTGCTGCAACGGCCAAGATTTAAACGACAACCCTCCTTCGCTCGGCTTCTCATGAATATGTAATATTCGTTAATTGTTACACGCGTTATTTAATCAGACTCAACGGGGGGGGGGGGGTGTACGATTTTATACTAGAAATTAAAAATTGTCTTAATGTTATTTATTATACGTCATCGTCACGAGAACATTTCTTATCAACGTAAGAGAAAAATGTGTTAATGTTCAATCGATATTATTTTCTATATGATGTTTGCTAAATAATGTTTTAATTAAGACAAAATTCTTCATTAAGTTTCTCCCCGAGTTGTATTGAAAAAAGAAATAAAGAAAAAATTTATCTCGCCGTTGAAAGTAACAACGCGTTAACAAGATTTTTTGTTCGTAGAGAAAATCTCGGGGTAATTGAGTTAGACGCATCGAATCAATCCATTTCGTGGATAGATCGGATAGCTGCGAATACCGCGAATGCACCATTTGCATTTGCAGCAAGGTGTGCGTCATAAATCACCTGGGTGATGCGCCGTTTAATCGCCATTCCGATGTGCTTGCTTGCTTGCTTGTACAACGAGATCCTCGACAGGACGTATTATTTACAAACCAATGAAAAAAAGTCCCTCGTTTCTCCCTCTCAATTTTAATTTTCCTTTTTTTCTTTGATTGGCTATTATAAAGTGAAACCAATGTTCCTGCGTTATTCTTTTCCAAAAGTAAATTTTAATAAAAACAATCCATTATGCAATTGGTAAAGTAAAGTTTCAAACGAACTTTAAATTCAGCCTAATAAATATCAAAAATAAAATAATAGGAGAATGAGAATAAGTAAAAAGTCATGGGGGTGGAGAGGAATAATCGTACGTGTCTAATGTAAGACGTATCGAGAATAAAATGAAATAAAATAAATCTATGATGAAAACGTATTAGAACGTGTGCTAATTATAGAAGAATACTTTTGCGAAATATGAAAGACTCGGGTGAATTATCGTACGGGGCCACGTAGTTACCCGATCTTATACACCTACGAACTAAATGCAAACATAGAATAGGAAAGAACAAAACGGAGAAAGAGGAAGAAGCGAAACCCGACGACGACGACGACGACGACATAGTATTCCTAGTACAATTGGTACATTACTGCTCATGGTATTATCCGTTGGCAACGAACACGCGAACTTTCCCATAGAGAAGAGAAGAGAAAGATAATTTCCTTTAGGCGACATATAAAACGAGACGAAATTACATATCATTCCTATTTAAATCTTTCAACTAGAATCTAACAACATTTTCTCTCTCGGTGTTTTAGAAATCCTTTAAATCTACTACCCGTCATGGTTTCAATCAAAATTATTATATCCATCCTTCTTCCAGGCTCGATGATTCGTCTGACACTAAATTAAAAGACAACCAACAATTAGGGGAAAAAAATAAATTAATTCAAAAGAAAAAAAGTCGAATCGTTCGTTAATATTAGAAAGGAAAAGATTATATATTAGGGAGGGGGATGAAAGTATGCACGTTTATGTGTTAGGGAGATCTCGCCCCCGGGTGCCACTAACGGTATAATATCGAGAACCCAAGAATGGGCTCAGGGGCAATACACTGTGGATCAGGGAAAAAGCTCTCGAGGATGACGAGTACTAGACTAGCGAATATTCGGTGAACGAGGGGGGGTGAGGAGGGGGTTCTACCACACCCGAATGTGATCGTAGTACTCCTCTTCTTTCTCGAGGGTTTCCTTCTCGTTGTGCTTTTTTGGGGCCACGTTCGATTACGCCCTCGAGGCAACAGCAGCAACGTACGTTGCTGCTAACAGGTAGAACAGCTTTGCGCCTCATCTAAATGGAAAACCGAATTTCTTTGCCGATCACATATACCCTCTCTCTCTCTCTCTCTCTCTCTCTTTCATTTTCTTTTTAGGTACAACCATAGGGTGCTCCTTATGCGATCACTATACATGTTGCTTTGATATAACTTTTGATAAAGAATATACAATTTAATTAATTTATTTTGGAAACGTTGAAAAAAATATTTGTTTAATCAAATATGTGTTTGTTAATTAAATATCGTGAAAAGTTCTCGTAATATTCTATATTCTAATTTTGAGAATTATTCCTATGTCGTTTTGTTGCTTTTACTTTATTCCCATTCTTCCTTATTTTCTACCCCACCCACCCCTAGCGAAATATTCTAAGAAGAAGGTTTAACTTTGGTGAAAGATAACGAGAAAGTGAATGAGAGAGATAGAGAGAGAGACATGTGTGTGTAATATTCCGAGAAACTCGTGTACCTTTATAACGAACCGAAGAGACAAGAACGACGACGACGACGACGACAAGGACCTAGACAAGAATGAAAGTTGGAAAGAGAAAAAGTAGCAGCACTACTACCACCACTACCTCCGGCAGGACCAACTCGAGGATGTGAACGAGGACGAAGGACGGCAGGCAAGAGGGCTTAACTTTACGGTCGAGACGGATAAAGTACGTATATTAACGTCACGAGACCATACCGGAAAGCCCTTTGTGAATACACGTCTCATTGTGTTACGTAAAATTGTGTTATACATACGTAACGAAAGATGCATTCTCATGTTTCTCTCTCGTATCCTACAATTGTCTTTCTTTACCTTATTAGACAAACAAAATATCAATGGAAAATATAATAAACGTAGAAACTTGGTATCGATTGATGTAAAAAATCGAATAATCAATGGGGGAAAAAACTTCGATTCGTATTAATACAGTTTATAGGAAACGTCAAAGGAAAATTAGGTCGTTGACGAGCGCAAACTTTTATAAAGGATAATGAAATAGATATTTTTTTACAGGTAACTCCTCGAATGAATATTCCCTTTCCCGAATAAAAATCGTCGACGTTATTTCACACGCTTAATTATTCTAACGTAAACAACGTAATATTACGAGGATTAATTATTAACACCACGTTATTAATAATACTCCGGCGCGTAAAGAAACGACGACGTGAGTTCATTTAACTGCACGCGAGCAAAAGTATTATAATAATATCTTACACGCATGTGGTTTTTTTTTTCTTTTTCTGCTTGTTCTACAATATCGTATTTTCTGTTTCCTCCTTATTTTGCCCCCGTTTCGTCCAATTAAAACGACTAAGTGTATCAAGATGTTCACGTGATGATCTGGATCGGATTTGGATACCTGATGACATTCCTCAAGAGATATGGTCAAAGTGCTATCGGATTGACCTTTTTGATCAGTGCTGTCCTCGTACAAGTCGCTTTGATCTGCGAAGGGGTCTTGCATTTCGACAAAAACAACAAGGCTCATTTATCTTTGGCCAGGTTAGAACAAATAATTGCAAAATTATTGATCTTACGAATCATTCTAAATCATTCAACGAAAAGTTCATCTCAAACGTAGTCTTTTCGCGATTTATCTCCAATAATTTTGATAAAACTACACGTCTAGTGTTTTATATCGTCGTAAAAAGAAAGATAATAAAATCGTTCATAAAAATTCAACAATTTTAAAAAGAAACTACGTGTCATTTCGTCGCGTTTTAAAATAACACATTATGAATATTAAATATTATATTCTAACATATATCTCTCTCTCCTTTTTGAATTTCTATCTATATCTTCCTTCTCCTTTCTGTATCATCGCAGACATGAATTTAATAATTCATGCTAAATATTAAATCAATCGATTCGAAAATTGTATCAATTTCTAGTCTACTCAGTGCCGACGTTGCTGTCGCAGCTCCATTGATATCCATGGGAGCTCTTCTTGGTAAGACGACCTATATGCAGCTCGTATTTATGGGTATCGTCGAACTGATCGTGTACACCATCAACAAGTACATAGGCGAGCATCATCTTATGGCAAGTTCATTTATGAAATATTCTTGCATTAGTAGGTCGTCTCAGAACTACTACTATAAGGGTTGAGTGACACGATTATTATTATGGAATTAGAATCTTCATAATTCGCATCAAATTGAAATCTAACATAAGTATTTTTTTTTTCTATTACTATGTATAATATAATTTAATTGAAAATAATAAGATAACAATTTATAAAAATAAGTGATTTGATTAAAAAAGAGGATAAGATTTATTTTCAACGTTGCATGTTCAATATATTTCGATGGGAGAGTATTGAAAAGGTATTGAAAGAAAAGAAAAAGGAAAAAAAAGTTAGGTTCGTATATTTCTGGGTCGGGTCAGTTCACGTTCACGCACCAGCAGCTGTCCGTGAAAATCGATCTACGATAGGTCGACTATAACCCGTCGTCGACCCCTCCTGTCTTATTTCTTTTATTCTCGAGTGCAACGGAATGAAAAGTTTCTTCTTATTTCATAGGCCGTCGATGCCGGTGACAGCATGTACGTTCATGCCTTTGGTGCATATTTCGGATTGGCCGTCAGTTTCGTCTTCGGTAGGAAGGATAAACCAAAGGAACATCATCTCGAGGGACCCTCATATCAGTCGGATATATTTGCAATGATCGGTAAAATTATTCGACTAAATAATATTAACATTCGGATGCATCAAATAATTTGTTAATAATCGTAAGAAAGTGACTAATTAATTGAATATTCTATGACAAGGATATATTGATCCCTGTCATCCTAGATGATAGATAAAAGTTGAAGAGATTGATAGAAAATTTGTATTTGAACAAAAGGTACGGTTTTCCTCTGGCTGTTTTGGCCATCGTTCAACAGTGCATCCCTCGATGGGGATAGCCAACAGAGGGCTATAATAAACACTCTCCTCTCGATCTCGGGAAGTTGCGTGATCGCCTTCGCCACGTCCGCTCTAATTTCAAAGGATAACAAATTCAACATGGTCCACGTACAAAACTCTACTCTTGCTGGTGGTGTTGCCATCGGCACTGCCGCAGGTATTTACACAATACCATTTCCTCTCCCTTAATTGCAGGTAATTACAGGAGCATTCGTAAGCACCCCTTTAAACATTCGATCCCATCGTATAATACCTCTACAACCATATTCAAACATATTCAACCATATTCTACAATCCAAGTAGGAAATGCAATATTATTCTACAATGTTCTTATTTCCTTTAACAGGTATGATGTGTAAACCAATAGGAGCACTGATCATTGGTTCTTTGGCCGGTTTACTCAGTGTCCTCGGATACAAATATCTAACGGTATTTGATATTTATCTTTTAATTAACGACCGAAGTTAAACGAGCTCGCAATTAACGCCCGCAGAGTGACCGTGTTTTCCTTCGTTTGACCGAAATACAAAATCACACTTGATCTGTCATACGGGTTAATTTAATGCTTGGGAATCCTACTAGTAGTAGTAGTTAGCAGTTCACAAAATATCAAATAGATTTTTTCGATTTAAATGCAACCAACTAATTTGTTTTTTTTCTAAGACTAATTTTAAAGGCGATTCCAAACTTTGTGGGGTCCAGTGGTTAATAAATTATCGAATGAAAAACCAATTAAATGAACTCTCCCATATACAAGACCTAAAAAATACTTGGAAATTCTCCCTTAATCTTGATTAAAAAAGGAAAAAGGAAAAAAGCGGTTGAAGTAAATTATCTATCCAGGCACCCTTTCTAAAAATAGTTTAAAGAAAGTTCTCGGTCATCGTTGAACGAATCCATCAACCCTTTTCTCTCTCTCTCTCTCTCTCTCTCTCGCCCTCGTGGAACATTTTGTGGTCCCGGAGTAAGAGCCGATCCGAGTTGCCCTCGCAAACGGTCCGTGGAAAGGGCTCGTAAATCCGACACGAAATCCTACAAAATCGGGGGTGCAAGGGTCGCGAAACGTAAAATGCGCTACGATAAATCGGTAATACGTGTGTGTAGTAGTAAGCTAGTATAAGTAAGTAAGTAAGTAAGTAAGTAAGTAAGTAAAGTAAAGTAATAGTTGTCATGTATATATGTTTTCAGCCATTTATACAGAAACGGCTAGGTATCCACGATACTTGCGGGGTTCACAATTTGCACGGAATGCCAGGAGTGCTCGCTGGAATTTTCGGTGCGATCATGGCAGCACTTGCTACACAAAATTCTTACGATTATTCTCTTTACGAGGTACGTAATTCTCTAAAAACGTACCTTAGCTTTTTACCTCCCTCTCTCTCTCTCTCTCTCTCTCTCTCTCTCTCTCTCTCTCTCTCTCTCTCTCTCTATTTCTCTTTTTCTAAAAGTATATCTACTAACAGAGTTTGCTAAATTTTTAACCGTTGTCTAGATTCTATTCTTGAAAAATGACCTTTCTTCTTATTTCCATTTTTCACCTTTCCTTTATTTTTAGAACCACTCGCCCGCTAGCTTTTTTACGGAATTTTTGTTTTTCCTATTTGTCCACCCTCTCCTGTCCAAGAGCCAACAACAATCGATCTTTTCAATATTTTCATTCACTCCCCTGTTATCCCTAACTTTTCATAGTCGTGTCAATTACCCTAACTCTCGTCACGTAAATCTAAAATCTTCCAAAGTCTCATTCGATTTCGTTTTCCTCCCGTTGTTCCATATTTAAACTTTGCTTTTACAAATGTTCATACAGATTTTCCCAGCGAGGGCGCCTAGTTTAGAAAAATTAAGCCCCGAGATGAGAAACGATTATGGTATTTTACCTGGTAACGATAGAACGGCGTTACAACAAGCAGGCTACCAAATACTTGCGTTGACTGTTACCTTACTAATGGCTACCATTTCCGGCGTAATAACAGGTAAGCGAAAGCAAGTGGACTCGAATATACGCACCCACAATTCCGAACAATACATTTACAATTTACAAGAACCTATTTTGAAATTTATATACGAATAAAACGAACGAAAGAAAAACTTTTAACACTTTTTTTCTCGGCTGGAAAGATTCATTATTTTTTTCGCGACAAGTACAAACATAATTTACGGTTCGCGTTAATTTATTCGCGTTAAAATACCCCCTTGATTCTTTTTATTTAAATTATTTGTTTAATATCAAACGTTAAGCAACACGACAATTCTAAATTTATTTACTCCGAAATCGTAATCAGTTTTAAATAATTATAGTAATATAATTGGGAACGCGATTACGAAATATTCGCGAGTACATTTCGTAAGTATTTCAAACGTAGAAGAAACAAGCATGCGCGTTGCAACGCGCCAAAACGAATATTTTCAATTAACGTAGACACGTGTTCATACATTTACCATCATTGTTTTAGGATTAATTCTGCGTACATCTGTTTGCGGATCTGTCGCGGAGGAAGACAAATTCGACGACGCTGTTCATTGGGAATTAGAAGAAGAGGAAGGCTTGCATGAAATTTCCAAAATTAAAGAAAGAAATAATCAAGCCAACGATCAATTACCAATGGGTACTATTTGAAAAAACAAAGTTTCTCTTATTTCTTATCAAATCTTATTCAAAAATTCACTTTTATTATTGTTGTTAGATTAAATGATACTATTGTGAAAATATTCTCTTTTTAATTACAACCATACATATTTGATAATAATTTTAATAATTGTTCGTAATAAAACATAAAACTTCTCTATGAAAATGTAAAATAATTTATGAATAAGTTCGACCATTGAAACAAATATAATTATTGTGACAAAAGTTTTGAAGAAAGATAGTGAAATAAGAACAAATCTTTTTAGATGCTTTTAAATAAATCTCATTAAAATATCAACAATCCTAAACTATATTATTTCTTATTAATAAAAAATAAAAAAATATCCACGATGACAATTTACTTATAACACAGATACATTGCGAACAAACAGCGATACTTTGAATGATTTTAATAAATTTCCTTTATAAAACCGTTGTATTAAATCTATACAATAAATATAATGTTAAATAATTTGTAATGTAATCCATTAGGAATGCTGAATGATTGTGAGAGCTCACTGATATCCTAATAATATCGAGAAATTAAATAAACTTTACCTTATAACTGTTTTAAGTTACATTTTTTAAAGTAATCTATATTTTATTTTCATTGTAAACTGTAGTCTTATTTTTTTTTTTTCTTTTTTTTTTTCATTTTTTGCTACTTTCCTCATATATGTATTTATGGATAAATCAATTTCATTAGAAAGAATATTGCAATTTGATTTATAGATGCTGTTTACGGTACCGCTCATTTCATCAGAGCATGTACAACAGCTTTGGCATTCAATGATTTTAAATCTGTATACGTTTGACCAGTTCCAACAAAAACAATCGGCTGACCGGTAATATATGTCATCGAGATAGCTGCACCCACCTAAACATTTTATTTATCGTTGGATAGACCCATTATTAAAATAAGAAAATAATCAAAATCTATTAGTGAAATGAATTTTTATAAATGTTACGTACCTTGTCATCGATAGTGTCAAACTTAGTTAAAACAATGCCATCGATAATATGAGGATTCACAGAATTACTATAATCTGCTAGAGCTTGATTGAATTTGACTAGTTGGTCTACAGCTTCGTTTCCAACAAGAGCCTCGCCAACAAATAATACCAAATCTGGTTCATTAACTTTAATCAATTTAGCCAGAGCTCTCATTAAAGGTTCATTATCTTGCATTCTTCCAGCAGTGTCTATTAAAACCACATCGAATCTAGAATCTTTAGCAAATCTAATAGCTTCCATAGCAATCCCAGCTGCATCCTTCCCGTAACCTTTTTCGTAAAGTTGAACCATCGATAGATTTCCGTGTTTCTCTGGAGGGTGAAGAGCATTTAGGTGACGCATATGAGTTCTCAATTGCTCTACTGCACCAGCTCTAAAAGACAAATCACCCTATATCAGAACTATTCAATAACTGTTCTAAATAAATTGGAAACGCACAAGACGTTGTACATATGTAAGCGTTCTCATAAAAGTTCATTGAAAATATACGGCATAATATACGTGCATATGTATTATTGAATATTTGATAATTACCTAAATGTATCACACGCAGCAATAAGTACACGAAAGTTATTTTCTATTAACCAAAAGCAAATCTTAGCCAAATTGGTAGATTTGCCAACTCCGTTAACACCGCAAAATGACATAACGTATGGTCTATTATTCTTTTTAGCTTCGAAAGCATCTCTTAAAATATCAACTCTCCTTTTAGGAGATAATATTTGTACCAACGAATCGGTTAAAGTGGCTTTAATCGTACTCGTTACACTATCAAATGTACCAAGAACCTTTCCTTCCAACTTTACTCGAACGGAATCGCATAACTTTTGCGCAATATCAGCTGCCACATTTTTAGAAATCAAATGATCCTTGAATTTGTCTAAAACCGGAAGCATATCCTCCTGTTTTAATGATTTATTGCCAACAAGGCTCTTAAACATAGAAAACATGCTATTTGCTTTCTTTTGTACTTGTGGTTGCGAATTTTCTATTTCCATTTCGTCGGAATCTTCGTCATCGGAATCACTCTCAACTTCCAAATCGCGAATAGTACCCTTCATTTTACCCACCAACTAATAAAATACGAAATAAAGAAAAAACAAAAGTTAAGATAATCCTTGAAATATCACTAATAATCGTTTAAGCATATTAATTACATGCAAGGATATTTACTCCTCTATCAGCTGGAACGTAATCTCCTATTTCTTCCGGTTTATCTTTGGTACGTTCCAGCGAAGCGAGATCTTTGGTAGTACCGCCTAATTCCCAAACGCGTGGTTTCTTTCCCGCTTTTTCCGACTTGGGACTTTTCCTATAAACGAATGATAAAGTTTACTCATATACATATACGTAAATTCAAAAGCATTAACTTACTGCTTATCAGCTTTTTTCTTTTGCCCTGACAATTTTTGGGCCAGTTTCATACGATTAGCGATAAGTGTTTCTTCGTCTACTTCTCCGTTAGAACTGATTTGCGATTTAGAAGATTCCAACTTTGGTACTTCTTGCACCTTTGCTAAAATAATTAATATTATAGTTATCAATGCAATGAAACATTTTATAAATAACGTTAGACATGCATCTACGTTAAATTCTTGATTAATGAGCAAGGTAAGAAGGCAACTTACTATGCTCAATTTCATTATTGTTAATAGTTCCCTTCTTCTTTTTACCTGAGAAGCAAACACCCAAATGTTGTTAGTCACAGATAGACTGACCACTGAAGTACCACATCAGACACTAATGTTTTATATAGACTACGAAAACAATATAAGTATTTACTTATTTACAAATGAATAGATAAATTATATACCCTGTTTTTTATTCTCCTTATCGTCTTTTCTCTCTATCATACTAGCAACAGTCTTTTTAGATTTAAGACTCTCATCAAAGGTACGCATTTGCTTAGGTATTTTGGCCTGTGCTCGTGCCCATTGTTCAGCGGCAACCAATACATTATTATAATTTTGTTGAAATTCAAAATTCGAAAACCATTGGGACGATTCCAATTCATTTTTAAATTTATCTCTAAATTGGAGATGTATATCGTTTAAGAATTTATCTACGTACGATAATTGAAGTATCTTTTGATACGCGACTACAAATACTAATTCAAATTCATTATCAAGTTTATATTGCAGACGTAACGATTCATGCTCGAACGTGTGATTTCCAGTACGTTCCTAAAAATTACAATTGATTGCATTAATTATCATTATCGATGAGATTAACGTAAAATCATTATTGACATCAGATATAAATCATACCAGATGTTTGAAATACTTACTTGCAAAATAACACTCCTAATTAAGGCATTAACGCTGGGTGTAAAAATTTGCGAAGTACTTTGGAAACACCACAAAACGATACCACCTTTACTAAATATCGTAAAAAGGTCGAGCATGATTGTACAATTTCTTAATAATAAGGAAAATCGTTACACTAATCTTCGAACTAACCTATCAATGATAGCGCAATTTTGTACACGTCAGAATACGTCAGATAATCCGACTGACAGTAGTGGTATAACCTAAAAAAGGAAAAAAGTCACGAAACTAACGATAAGAAGCAAAAAATCACTATACTCTAGTAACTTCCGATAGGAGCCAATGAAAATGCACGATGGATGCAATCGTAGTATAAAAAAAAAAAATGGCCGCCGGAGATGAGAATAAAATACTAGAAATAAAATGGAGGACGTAGAGGTTAGTAATGGCGGTTCAATGGTGGTGCCAGCTATCGAGTGTTGCTAAATCGTGTTTGGTTAGGGCGCGGAGTGTGTGACGGGTGGGGGCTGTAAAGGGGGTTGGTATATCGCTGACGTCACGTTCGGGAATGTCCGTAGACACTCGAGTAGCCCGATCTCGGCCGAACGGGTCAATGTCTGAGGAGGCTTCGAAAAATCCGTGCCTGGTGTGGTGTTCCCGTGTTCGACGAGTAAGTGGAGAAGTCGTCGTCGTTTATTGTCAAAGGAATAAAGAATTATTTTCACGTTGGCTAAAACAAGGCCAATCGTTGAGCCAATATCGAAGTAAAATCATATTGCTCGATTTCGATATCATTCGTTACAGGATATCGGATAAGCAACGAAGAAGAAGAAGAAGATTACGACGACGACGACGACGACTACTACGTCAGGAGGAGGAGGAGGAGGAGGTGGTGGTGGTGAAGGAGGAGAAGAAGGAGGAGGAGGAGGAGAAGGAGAAGAAGGTAGTGGAAAAGAAGAACAAGGAGAACAACACGACGACGACGAAGAAAAAGACGTGGGGACAATTATTCAACATTTTGGCGTCTGCAGTTACGAAGAGTCCTAGTCCTACGCCCCCGTTGTTTAACTGTATTATTACTTCCGTGTCGAAAGCGACAAAATGTCGTGAACCTCTCTGGCAAGTTCCTCGCGAGAAGCCTGCTGAAAAAAGAGATAGGAGAAAGAGCTGGAGGAGGCGAAGGAGAAAGAGGAAGGAAGAGGAAGAACAGTACTGGGAAACGAGAGGACGGTTCCTGCCAACAGCAACGGCTTACCAATAGACCAGAGTTGCAGAAGTGGAAGAGGCGTAATACGACCAGGTCAAAAGGGGAAGGACCAAACTAAAGACTAGCTAAATCCTAAAAAAGGAAACAAAAATAGTGGTGGTCTTTCGGCTCTTGTTAATATTCCAAAAGAATAAGTGTGCTATTGTGTGAAGGAGCGAAAAAGAGAGAGAGAGAGAGAGAGAGAGAGAGAGAGCGTGCGTGTGAGCGAGCGAAAGGGTGAGAGAGGGAGTGAACGAGAGAGAGAGAGAGAGAGAGAGAGAGAAAAGGTATAGTAATATAGTGCGGTGGTAGTAGTGGTTTGGTGCGTCGAGCCGATGATTTTCCCCTATCGCGCGCGCGACCGTGGCACACGACGTTGAGCGATCTCGCTTGCGCGCGCGCACACCCGCTGAGAAAGAGAGAGAAAAAGAGAACTAGAATCGTAGGAGGAGAAGAGGAAAGCGCGTTCGAAGAAGAGGCGAGAGGTAGCGCGAGCGTCGAATTACCGAAGAGAACAGAACAACGACGAAGTAGAGACAAGAATACGACGACGAAAAAGGGCTACGTGTGTGTACCCGAAAAGGAATTTCCAATTAATTCGTTCGTTCATTCGTTCGCGCATATATCGGTGATATCCAATCGGAGTTGAAAGATCCAGTCTTTGGAGTCGCTCGCTCGGTTGCTTCCTTGAAATCGTGTTGTGTAGTTAACGGTGCTACTGTCGGTGGAGGCGAAGAAMCCCGAGCCGTGAACCGAAGTACTGCGGTCAACAAGAAGAGAGAAAACGAGCGAAATAAAGAAAAAAATAGAAGGAGTGTGATTGGTGCGCCTTGCTCTTTCGCATTCATTCGGATTGGTTCGCGTTGGTTCGCGCGTAAGAACCGTCCCGAAAACATCGACCCCTACCTCCCTCTTCAGGGTACCACTGAAGTCGTTGCCGACGTTCCATTACTACGAGTGTCTTCTCTATCTCTGTCAGAATAGAGAGATAAAAAAAAAAAGAAAAAAAAGGAACAAATAGACGGAATAAATAATTAGACAAATATTCACTCTATCTCTCTTTTATTCTCATTACGGTACGTACTTGACCGAGGAAATAAAAAGATAGAAAGAAAAAAAAAAGATTAAAGAGATTCGAAAAAAGCGGCGCTTGGGGTTTCCTAACGGGAGTTACTAGATTTTGACCGCAACGCGTCGCTACGATCGTGCGGTCTAAAGGAGAGAGCGAGAGAGAGATAGAGAGAGGCAGGCTCGACGCCTCCGTCCGTAAAATCGCGCCTTCGATCGGCGATCGCGCGTCGAGGGTTCCCTCCCCCTCTTCATCATCTTCTTCTTCGCTCTGTGTGGTATCCTCTCCTCGTCCCTTTCCTTTTAACATTACCAATAGCGGTAGCAGCAGCAGCAGCCACAGCTACAGCTACTAAATTACTACTACACACCTACCCATAGCCACTTATTACACTATTAAAATCTACTATTACCCGCTCTTCTCATCCGTTCATCCATCCGTCATCGTCGTCTTCTTCGTCTTCTTCGTCATTGTACGTCGTTGGTGTCGATGGTGGTAGTGTTGGTGGTGAAAAAGGAGGAGGAGGAGGAGTTAGGAGGTGCTGGTATAGAGGTGTAGGTGTATAGTGTGTCGTAACGCGGAGGTGTCGCTTCGTTGTCGTCGTTGTCGTGTCGTTGCTGTCGTATTTATCGGTGTCGTGTCGTGTCGTGTCGTGTCGTGTATGCGTGAGTAGTAGAATAGATTGGGGAAAGAGAGAAAAAGAAAGAACAAGACAAAAAGGGTTGAAAAAGACGAAGAGGAAGAGGAGCAAGTCAGCCAAAGGGGCTGGTGCTCGCCTGCAATGTGATAATCGTTTGTACCGTCATTGATGTCCGAGGTGGTGTCGTCTAGGAGGACAACGCGTTATTACCAGGTCCCTCCTTGTGAGGTATTTGCGAAGAGAAGGAAAAGGAAGCGGCACGGGCGGGCGACAAGGCGGGCGACCAGGCGGCGGCCAGCGGAAGCAGCGCAGTCGCGCGAATAGCGGCCCTGCCAGGTGGAGCTTCCTCAGCTCCCGGCTTCAGGATGAGCGGCCGACCGAGGACCACCTCCTTCGCCGAGGGCAACAAGCCGCCCGCGAATCCGCCCCTCGGCGGCGTCAAAATCAGCAGTGAGTACCTACCACCTTTCTTTATACACCTACAAACCCTATTTGCCCCTTACAGTTACATTCCAACCCCCTTCGCATCTTTTAACTTTACTCTCTCTCTCCCATCTTCTCTATTATAATCCCCCACCCCGCCATTTAACCATTTACCCTCCCTCCCTTTACCTCCGGTTAACATATCCACCCTTCCTACCACCCAACCCCCACTCCACTCTCCTATACCCACTTTCCTACCAACCACCCCCGTGTCTCCTACACTATTACGCCTGGGATCTTCTATCCAACTTACCGAATAATACACTATACGGACTTTATTATGAAGAGAAAAAGTATTAACAGTAAACACATTCTTGGTTTCATTTTCTAATACTCTTATTATTTAACTTTTTAACCGGAGATCTAATTTAAAGAAATACGTCGATGTCTTATGCAATAATGGTAAATACGGTAAAAATTACAATTTGCACTTTGTTCGATTGTTCAAAAGTAAAATAATTCAACAAATGATTTATTTATCGAGTTCCAATTGACTTGCCTTATCTTTCAAATACCATTCGCGAATTATAATTCGTCCCTAATATACTATAAAAGATTAATATTTTTATTATTATATTTGTGGATATATCAATTTTGTAACACACCTTCTGTGTCTGCTCCATTTGTTATCAATCATGTATATCATTTATCAATTACCTTTTTCGTGTTAATTATTTAACGATCAAATGATGAAACCAATACTCATTTGAATAGCCCAAGTATTTTTTAATGGTAGTCTGATGTTTTTTTTCTTGTTAAATAAAATATGAGCTAACGATTGTAGAATTGTTTGGTTAACGGGATTCGTTGTTTTTTAAAAAACATTTATTTGTTTCATTCCAATCGTCTAATGATCTTATTACTCAACTCCGTTGACTTTTGAGTGGTAGAAATGTCATAAATCGAATTGTTTCGTTAGGTCTCCCTTCGCCATTTCTTGTACATATTGCGACGACTTCGAAGTCATCTTCGATCGATTTATACGAACTCATTAATATTATTTGTTAATGTATTTCAATACCAAAGTTTGTTAATTTATCTGTTATCTTTTATAGGAAATAATTTTTTATTATGAGTTAACCACCTGGAGAGTAGGAGAAGTATACTTTTAGTATTATATATAAAGTACCAACAAATTTTCAATGCTGAGATATAAGAAATATTGTAACTATATATAACTATATATTTTTTTTTTTTAAATATAAATGACTAAAAATGTCTGGCATTACTTATTGGTCAAGCAATTATTTGCGTACGTGCGCGCGCATCACTTGGAAACGGCATTTAACCGCGCCACGTGCTGGATGAACCTATCGATGAAAGCGCATCCTATGCGTTGCATTCTTGGCGGCCACCTGATTTACGTACACGTTCCTTCTTCTCAACAGAGATCAAAAGAGAGTTTATCTATGTGTGTGTGTGTGTGTGTGTGTGTGAGACATTCTCGTCCACGGATTCACTTTTCTCTGTACCCTTGGTAGTATTCGCGAAGAACGAGGTGCATCTTGACGCGTTTCAAAAAGGGGGGACCTGTTTGCCACGTGTACTCTTTTTCACATCACTTACCTACCACTACTTTGTTCAATTTTTTCTTATTCATCAATAAGAAAATTGCCAATTATATTATTCGCGGGTGAATTTTGTCTGCGTTTGCGTTTTTGTTAATGTTCGCGTGCGTGAAAAAGGGGGTAAAGAAACGATTAGAAAAATTCATATTATTGTAGTTTGTATTTTTTTTTTTATTTTCTTTTCTGAATCGTGAATCGTTTTAAATCATAATCGAGATCAAATCTACGTAGATGCTGCAGTCGATTCCCGAAGAGACTTGTAAGTCCCCGTGTTATTTTTTTCTCTCTCTCTCTCAAAAATAATACATATATAATAGGAATGAGATTATATTTCTTGTTGTTGAGAATATATCGTTGCATTAATGCAAGTGAAGTTTCTATTATTTTACGAGTACCTCGATGCAGTATTTATTTAAAATCTCGTTATTGAGTGAAACACTCGTGTTAAACTTTTATAGTTTCGCTGTCTTTTACATGCTACGATCGTTTTTCATTCGAGAATAGTTTACCACGTCTCTATCTATTTCATCTTCTTCTTCCTAATCTATTTTCTTTCTCTATCTCTTGTTCTGTTTTATTCCTTGCGAAGAGGAAGAGTCATGCTTGATGTTGCTGCTGCTGCAACACCAGCAGTAACATTACTGATACTAATACTTTGGTGGTGGTATTGCTTACTAGTAAATAGTGCAGGGTTACACTAGTACTAAAACGAAATAAATGTTTTCCTCGGGAATACTTGGTCCATGGACGGGGGATACTTTGAGGCCATCCGACCTCTTCAATTATTCCTACTTCTTTTTCCAAGCTCACGAATTCTCCATGTGAATAAAATATTCCTCGTATGTGCCAGTAAATATCGACCGTCTGTCTCTGACGCAAGAGAAAAAAACAGAGAGAGAAAGAGAGAGACATACAGAAAGTAAGAGTAAGATAGAAAGACAGAGACGAGTATGTACGTATGTAAAATAAAAGAGAAAAAAAAAGAAAGAAAGGGAAAGAAAATAGACTATTTACATGTTGCAAGTAAAAGAGAGAAGAGAAACATATATACATATAAAGAAAATCAGAGAGTAAAAGGAACATGCGCATACAGAAAATTAGAGAAAAAGAGACGAGTATACGTAGAAGAAATTAAAGGAAAAAAGAGACAGAGAGAGAGAGAGAGAGAGAGAGAGAGAGAGAGAGAGAGAGAGAGAGAGGCTTTGTTTGTACAAAAGAGAGGAATAATTCTAAATGCTCAGAGTTTCTATTTTCTCTCTCTCTCTCTCTGTTTCATATTTTTTATTTAACTAGCAGCATGCCTTTCCTTTTTCTTTTTTAACATCTTAAGCATGTTATGTGTAGGTAGATACGAAGGGATCCTTTATACGTACATATGTATGCATATGCATATGCATATGTATATGCGTTTTATTCGCATTTTATATGTATATGTGTATGTATATATACTTTGGACGTTTTCCAAAGGTCTTCTTTAACCCACTTAACTGCCAAAAAAAAAGATGACGCATGTTACGGTGCACTGGCGATAGATAATACGTCGTTAACTTATCAAACGAAATTATGCATATGCTTGTATGCATATTGATACGCGACCGCGTATGATGTGTGTATGATGCGCCTATATAGATGTATATGCATTATCTATGTGTGTTTTAATATGCGTTAACTCGTCGATGCGGTTAGTATAATATATCAATCCCTTTGGATCGTTTCATTTGCCGTATTGAGAATCTAGGTTGAATTTATTGATCTTGATAATATTAATTAATGTGTCAATTAGATTTGTATGAGAAAAAATATGATTATAATGATATGTTTTATATATTTTATATTATTCGAAAGAGTTATTTTTGTTATTATTTAATTAATTCATTCATTCATTTATTTCTTATATTCAAAAAAAAAAAAATGCAAAATTCCATACGTAAACTGATGAATAACTTTGATCGCGATGAAATAAAAAATATTATAAAAGAAAATTCAATTATATATATTAATGAATACGTTGATGAAAGCATTCGTGTTTGTATGATATGACAATTTTAAAGTATATATTTTGACAATTATTTGCCATTTAAATTCGATAAGATCTATTCTACGAGGATAAGGAAAAGGTGGGTGGGTCGAAGAGGAAAAGGAAGAGATATATAAGTTTGATTATATTATAAAAGGCCGTGCGTCGATTATAATTTCGTGCCAAAATCATATATATATATATATACGATATATAACGGCCCCGACGTGTCACAGGTACGAGAATAGCATCGGACATGTTTCACCGTCTCAGCTTTTCAGCTTTTCAACGGGAAAGTTTATACGGCGCTATACGTAAATCCGATAGCCACTAAAGAGAAAACGAGAAAGAGAAAGAGAGAGAGAGAGAGAGAGAGAGACCATCTCATAAATTAAATGATGATTCTCGTGAGACTTATTCTCGATTCAAAGCTTATTATCTATTCCTTTTACCTTTAGAATTTTACCGTCAATACTTTTAATCCAATTGAAAATCGATATTTTTCAATTACTTTGTCCGACAGAATTTATCTCGCGTATTTTTTTATTTTTTTTTTTTTTTGTTGCTTTAAATATATAAATATATATATATATATCATCGTCAAATTTAATAACCAACCTTAATATCAAAAATATTAATCGGCACGAACTTTTCACGCATAAGCAAATATTATCGCGTGATGTAATATATATATACATATATATCCTATCAGTGCAAATAATTTGATTATGATAATGATATATATATATATATAAAAAACTCGAAGAAGAATGCACAAATTGAACTGTCGATTAAACAATTTTCTACATGGTGTGATACGCGTTCGTAAGCATGAAGGAAACTCGGGAACGATCAGGAAAGTGGGTCAATATCCTGGCTCTGTCGGGTTGACTGCTGCAACGTGCCATTCCACCCTGTCATTCCACCCTGTGAGATGCCCATATTTTATAAACATTTATTTTTCCGATATACATGTAGAGAGACGATATTTAAATAAAAAAAATAAATAAAAGTAAAAGTTAAAGGCTGTCGGGATTAGGCGCTTCTACGAGACTTCATGAAAATTTATCTAATTTGTAATTAGCGTCTACTGCACACGGTGCATTCGTTCATCATGAATAATAGCGTGTCATCGACAACGCATTATAATCCATTTACTATATTTAGAAAATCTTTTTTTACTCCCTTTCCATCATCTGCCTTTCCTTTCTTTTTCTCTTCACTTTCTATTTTTTTTTATCTATTTATTTATCTAAATAATTATTCATTTATTCCAATCTCTCGATGCACTCTACGTCTATCTAATTAGCTATCATTTTTATCTATATATTATATATTTACATCACTCTCTCTCTCTTTATATATATATATATTTTAATAAT